TCTCCACCAGGCCTGCCCTGGCCGCCCTTCGCTCATGTGCGCCTTCTCTCACTCTTCACCCAGCAGCCATCCTGCTGGTCTTGGGCTGGCTGGGGGCCAGGCTATGCAGTGGGGCAGGGGGCGGGGGGATGCCCACCTAGAGGCTTGAGCAGGTAGCTCACTGAGTAAAAGGCCCTGGATTCTAACAGCACCTCTGCCACCAACTTGCCGAGACCCTGGGTCCCATTAGTCAGTCTTCTCTTAGCTCTATCAGGTCTCCGGCATGGGCCAGAGCTGCTTTGAGTCCCAGGAGGCTCAGAGGGGTCTGTGAGCCACCAGACTGAGCGCAAATGTTGCTGGTGTGCAGTTTTCTTGGGAGAAGAACCCGAGTGTTTCTTAGATTCTCACAAGGGGCCTGACACCCAGCGAACATGAAAGCACCGCTGGCAATGCCTAAGGATCTTTGCCCAGGGGCCAGACGGCACACAGACAGAAACGTAACCCATGGTCGGCAGAAAGCAATGAAGTGCCCTGGGGTCATAAGAGCTCGGGAGAAATCTGGGAGATTTCTAGGAGGAAGCACCACCAGGACTGCTGCTTCACCTCCTAGGCAGGCCTTTGAGAGCACGGAGCCTCTCCATTAGATGGGCAATGAACACCAATGGAAAGGCTTTTCCCAGGGCCCGACAGCCAGCTGTGGGGCCAGCCAGCCTTTCTCCTACGCCAGTGCCGTCTCCCCTCTGAGCCAACAGAAGGGTTTAGAATGCGGTGTCAGCACCAGGTAGAGGAAAGGGGAGCTGGTACCCAAGACTGCTCGGCATTTCTATGTGTATACATGTGGGGGCAGGTCTGGAGACAGACGCCGGCAGGGAAGAGCCGGGACTGGAAGAGGAAAGCAGTCAAGGGACAATCTGAGCAGAATCTGCGTTACCGGGACATTTTACATCTCAGTGCTAACATCCTCGCCTCCCAGGTGCCCAGGGCCAAGGGTCCGGTTTCCATCGGCCAGCAGACTTTCACGTGCTGCCATGATGCCGAGCAGATTTTTAAGAGCGACTAGGAATAAGAGGCCTGAAATGCACTTAAAAGTCCCCTGAACAATACCCTCTGAGATGACAATGGCCTTCCCCATTGCCCCAGCAGGGTCACCCTGAGCTGGGGCACCTCATAAGAGCAGCATTCTTCTAATGGGGGACTAGGAAATAGGCCACAGGGCTTAACTCTCAGGCCACGGCTGCCACCCCACCCCTGCCCCTGGCTTCAGTCCCATGCGACCTTTACTCCGTTTTCTACACGCAGCTGGGCGAGCACGGTTTGCTGACATCAGCCTTGGTCAGGACCTGGGGGAGTCGTCCATACTCCAGCCTAGCAGGCATCTGCGTGCAGCGCAGCCTGTGCGGCCCCATCCCTGCAGCTGATAAGGATGAGCTGTGGGATTTCAGGGATTTCTCTTGCCCACTGACCTCTATGTGTGCGTGGGGGTGGTGGGGGGAAGGGGTCAGGGGCCACAGAGCCAGCCAGTGCACTCCCCTGAGAAGAGATAGGGAGGTCCCCCAGCATACAGCTTCAAGGTGAGGAGACGGTCACAGGGGCAGGCTGACACCGCTCAGCTAAGGCCTGGGATCAGGCACTGATGGGAGGAGACTGCGAAGGAGTGTGTGCGTGGAACATCCTTTCTGAAGTGAGGCAGCAGCAGGCATGGCCAGTCCTCACAGAGACAGCCACAGGGCATCAACACAGCCTCACCAGGTCTGGAGCCTCGGGGCCACTGTTCTTTTAGTTGTAATAGGGGCTTGAGGGGCCTTGTCTGTGTCAGCCATGCACGCAGCAGATGCCCCGGGCCGAGTCTGGCCCCTGTCCTGCCCTCTGGTCTCCGAGGCCTCTCCACTGCAGGACATCTTGCACTCTCATGAACCTATCTGCTTGTGAAACGGGCATCCTCTACGAGGATCCATCTGGGGCAGGCACGAGGCTGTGTCTGAGGGCTAGTCCCCACTCCCCCTCTCATCCCCTCAGGGTCCTGTGCCTCTGACACAGGCTCTCCCGTGCCAACGGTGCACCCTGCACCCTGCCCTCACCCTTCCCCACATCTGCCCCACTCCTGCCTGGCAGGCACCAGCATTCAGCCCAGCCTGGACAGCCCCTTCCCCCAGTTGATAAGAATGAACAAAATGTGTAATTGAACAAGATGCTCCCCGGTCCGAGATCAGCAATACCTAATCCAACTTCCTCACTTTCCAGGTGGGAAGCTGAGTCTCAGGAAGGAGAGCATTCTTGCCTTTGGTCACCCCACCCTTCCGCCCTGGAGCTAGAACCCCAGGCCTCCCACGTCCCCGTCGGGGCCTGTTCACTCCACCGAGTGCCCTGTGAGTGGGTGATGGATGGAGGACCGGCAGGCGTACTTGCCTCCTCCATATCGATCTTGGACTTGGCCAGAAGGAGCTTGCGGTCAAAGTCGCGCTGCTTCTGCTCCCGCTCAGCCTCCAGGTCGGTCACCTGCTTCTGCAGGTCGGCCAGCTTCTGGCGCAGCTCAGTGATCTGGGTGTAGAGGCAGATGTGGGCAAGTGTGAGGACAGGGTGCAGGATGCACTGGGACACAAGCGGGGTGCAGCACCCCTACACACACAGGGTCCCCCAACCCTGCTTCTCCTCTTGGCCATGCTGGGGCTCAGCCTGGACCACCTCCAAGGCCCAAAGTTGCCAATGGGAGGCAGGGAGATGGAGGTTGGAGGCCCTGAGAGCTGAGCGTGGAACCAGCAGTCTTGACAGCCCACACCTTACCTTCTGCTCATACTGCTGCTTCATGGACCGGAAATGCTGGTCCCACTGCTTGTTCACTTCAAGCAGCTGTGGGGAGAGAAGGGCGTGAGCAGCAGAGGACCCGAGAAGGAACAAAGGTGTGGTGCAGGCATCACACAGAGAGTGGCTACAGACACTCTCTCAAAGCAATCCGCCTGCCAACTGCCACAGTCTGTGCTTGCCTGGGAGCAAGGTGCAGAAATGGCAAACGATGATGCCCAGTCATAGGACCCACATGCCGCCTTGGAAAACAACTTCGGGCTATGCCTTAAAACCTCAACTGCTCATTTCCTTTAGCCCAAGAACCCCACTCTGGCCATTTTAATCAGCTGAAACACTTGCACCAGTGTACAAAAAGAGGTCACTGACATGCTACACACAATAACCAAATGCCAGAAACCTGAGTGCTCATCAGCAGAGAATGGAAAGCCAACTGTGGCACAGACAGACAGTGGGCTCCTGCTCAGGAGGAGACAGGAAACCTGGACACAGTCTGCATGGAGCCAGCAGGCACTCTGCTGAACAACATGAGCCAATCACAAGAGGGCAACTTTTATATGACCTCATTTATATGGCGGACAGGGGTGTCAGAAAATTCCATTATTTCATTCTATTTTTCCATCAACTTTTTGAAATTCTCTTGTATAGAGATGAGAAAGGGAACTGCGTAGAGGCTGAAGTACTACATGAACGGTTACTATGGTGGGTGAAAGGAGCCCTGGTGGAGTAGAGGGTTATGAGGAGCTAGGCTGCTAGCCGCAAGGCGGGCAGTTTGAAACCATCAGATGAGGCTTTCTGCTTCTACAAACAAACGATCATGGGGCAGTTTTAGTCCAGTGGTTCTCAACCTGTGGGTCGCGAGGCCTTTGGGGGGGTCAAACAACTCTTTCACAGGGGTTGCCCGATTCCTAACAGTAGCAAAATTACAGTTATGAAGTAGCAAAGAAAATAACTTTATGGTCACCACATAACGAACTGTATTAAAGGGTCACGGCATTAGGAAGGTTGAGAACCACTGTTGTAGTCCATCTGGTAGGGCACTGTGACTCAAGGGCAGCGGGTTTGGGTTTGGGCATGGCAGGTGAGGAGCCGGGTGGACGTATGGGGATAAACACTGGGTTGCTAACCACAATATTGGTGGTTCAAACCCATCAGCCGCTCCATGCAGAAGAGATGAGGCTGTCACAAAGATCTACATTCTCTGAAACCTTACTCTGTCCTATAGGGTTGCTATGAATCAGTACCAATTTGATGGCGACTAGGCTTGGTTTAGGCATGACGGAGAAACTGTGCTGGCAAAACTGCACTGATTCAGAATTGGCTTGCACAGCCAACAAGTTGTATGCCCGTAAACAGTTAAGTTGGCAAAGTGATCGATCTATTGACAGCAGTGATTGGTAGATCCATATACAGCAACGATCATAGAGAGCTGCTGCTAAGGCTGCTGCTAGCATCTCACGGACCTTGGCAACTCAGTCGGAGGTTAACGGGTCACGGCTTCAGGGAACAGACTGGGTAAGTGGGTGAATAATGTATTTGGTGCTTCTGTTCCACCTCCAGTTTATTAGGTAGTACCTGAGTTCTTAAAGGTTGGCAAGCGGCCACCCAAGGCCAACAGTTAGCCTCTCTCCACCTCCAACTACAGGGAGAGTAGGAGAGTTGGAAAGAGAGGGCGGGGTTCACTGAGCAGCTGCCCCTTTCCCAGGAGGCCAGAAATGGGCAGCGCCCAGCTACTGTTCTTAGACATTTGGATCCGAGATTCCACAGGGGAATCTTAATTAAAAACAGAGAAATGCAGAACAAAATTTCAAATTCTTATGAACCCTACACTATCTGGAACCAAGGAGGATGGATAAACTCCTAAAATGATTGCCAAGAAATAATAAGAAAGCTTTAAACCAAAAATATTCCTTGAAGTTATTTTAAAACCAAGTAATAGCTTAATTAGCAAAAAAAAAAAGTCTGCAGTGAGCATCATGCAGGCATGATGCAATCTTATTTTACTGACTTACATGTTAATGAAAAACGACAACCAAGTAAAACCCTGTCACCACTGAGTGCACCCTGACGTCTCTCAACGGAGGAGAGCACTCCCTCGGGTCTCAGAGGCTGTGCTTCTTTACGGGAGCCGACAGCCTCACAATGAAAAATAAAACGGAGGGAGACACCAGGGGTACTTCTACATGGTACGGGTCTTTAATGCTTGTTTTTTGTTGTTACCTTAGACTTCAGAAAAAGTAATTTATTTTGTTTTCTTCATGTTGAAAATATACACAGAGCAATGTATGTCAATCTATAATTCTACACTGTAATTAGTGGCCTTGATTACAGTGGGGTTGTGCAACCCTTTTTATCTTGTCTTTTCTTTTTTTTAAAAGCTTTTTATTATGAATTGGAACAATAATTTACAGAGCAAATCAGTTTTCCATTCAAGAACTCTTACACATTTGGCTTCCTGTCATTGATCGCCATCCCTACAATGGAACATCACTTAACTCTTTCCACCCTGTTTCCTGTTTCCCGGGTCTTTAACTCTTATAACACACATTATACTCCTTTTATCACGAGAAAACATAATGGGGCACTGTCAAAGAGGAAGCCAAATGGTTATGTGTCCAGGTAAGTGAACGATAGAGGGAGGCCCGGCTTTCAAATGAGCTGCAGCCCAGCAAGGGCAGAGGCTCGGGCCTGCAGCAAGACCTCGACTGTGTGGAGAGGAGAGCCGTATGTCCTCACCTCTCTCCTCTCCAGAGCAGTAACTGCCGCCAAGGAAAGTCCCTCTGACGCTGGGCGGGGCAGCCTGGATGGCCCTGGGGTGAGTTGGGGAGAAAAGTGCAAGAGCCCCAAGGAAAGAGATTAAACGTTGGAGATTCCCAGCTGGCCAGAAGCACTGCTGCAAAAGGGCCCTGGGTCCCCTATAGGGGCTGTCCTTCTCTGACCCAGCTGTGAGGCAGCAGGTGAGCCCTCAGCTCCTCAGCCCCGATGCTGACACCTCTCTCCATCCTGCGGGCCTTACCTCAGCTGTCTCCCTAGACGCCCCCAACACGTCAGGCTATGGCCCAACACTGCCTCCTCGGAGTGAGATGGGATCCAAACAGGGCAGCCCAAGACAAAGCAACAAGTCACCTTCCTGTTTTAATTGCATTATGGCAGCTCATCACAGTAGCTTGGGTCAGGGAGGACTGTGTCCTGCTGGTCCATAGAGAAGGGTCTTTGCTGAACTCCCTCCCTGCATCACCTACCTCAGTGCGCTGCTGCTCCAGCATCTTCACCTTCTTCTCAGCTGTACCCAGCCCGCCCAACTCCGGCACCTTGCCTGCTGATACGCTCGCCTGCGAGACAGACAGAGGGACCTTGACCACAGCCTCAAATAGACATCCTTTCAAGTGCTCACTGCTCCTATAGGCCCCGCCCTCCAACGCCCACCCTGAAACACAGCTCTATGTCCCAGCCCTTCCACCACTCCCTCAGGAGAGCCGTGCCCACTCCGTAACCCACAGACACCGACCAGTAGCCCACCCCTCCCACAACCACTTCTTCCCTTGCTTCGGTTCCATCTCTAACTACCAGCCTCGCCAAACACACACACACACACACACACACACACACACACACACACACACCAGAAATCTTCTAGCTTAGAAGGCAACAGTTATGTATTTCTTTAACGTTTTCTAAAATGCTTACTGTAAAGATGTTTTTAGGCAGATGTGGAAATGAAAATAAGCCATGCCATGATTAGTACATATCCAGACACATAGCACGTCTACCACAGTGGCACCTCAGTAGCAGTGAGTCCCCCCTGTGCCCAGACTGTTGTGGTTTCTGAATCATATTCCAAACCCAACAAGACTCCTTGGAGAAATGGTTAGCTCCAGGGCTGGCCGAGAGGATATATAAAGAGAGATCAGAGCATCTTATGATTCTTTAAGAAAAAAATTTGGTGAAAACAGATAAGAGACATACATGATCAAAAGGTCACAGAAGCCAGCTTGAAAGAACTTCCAACAGTCAATGCTGGAACAATTTGCACAACAAAATAAATTAGGATGGCAAAGAATTATAGCCCAAAGAATGAGCGAAATATTCTGTGTTCAGACTGACAGAGATGAGCAGCTGCATGTGTAATCTGGTCCTTGCAGAAGCCTTCCCCGCCACACATGTGGAAGGAGCCAGAGGAGAAGGAAGCCCGGGGAAGCCGCACAGTAACAGCGGCTGTGGGGAGATGCGTGCGCCCAGAATGGCTGAAGTGAGCAAGCAGACCTTGAAGGAGAAACAGGGCATCTGCACAGCCCCCCACCAATAATTTCGGATGCATCACGTGGGACGAACAGTCACTGACTACCACCCAGTGACCCGACAGACACTGCTGACTCACTGACAAGGTTAGCCCTGAGCAGTGTAAGGCGGCTGACATGAAGGCCCTCCAAATGACGAACTGAGAAGGCCACATCATTTCCATAACATTCCTGCCAACGTCGCACACCCTCAATCTCACGGTAAGAAACCACTGGGCAAACGTCAATGGAGGGGCACACGAGAGAACAGCTGGCCAGCACAACACCAAAGTGGCAGGGTCCTGAGAGACCCGGCCGGCCGGATGAGACAGGCTGGCGGCACCTGCTGGCAAAGGGGAATTCGAGATGAGGTCCTGGTGCAGGATGGTAAAATCTGCATAGTCTATAGTTCCGTTAACAGAAATGCACTCAAGTGGATTTCCTAGTTTTGAACACTAGCTTGTAGAAGATGTTGGCAGGTGGAGAAGATGGGCAAAGGGGATTGGATTGGGCAACTTCTGTGGAACTCTTCTCTACGTCTAGGATGACCTCAAAATAAACAGTTCTAAGAAGTGCTGGGCCAACAGCACTGTAAGGCTAGGAGCCCAGAAATGGGGCCTTGATACTACGAGGCCTCATCTGGCCCGCGGACACTATTTCCCTAAGCACTGGCTTTGGAGTCCACCGTCTGACTCTCATTCCTCCTGGGGCTCTGCCCTACCTCGGCCCCTTCTCCCCGGCCTTCCCAGACATCCTCCACACTTCGCTTCTACTTTGCGGGCACCCAGGGGCAGAACTTATGAGGCTCCAGTGGCCCCTAGAGGCTAAGGTCTGGAAGCACACTGCAGTACCAATGCTGACTCAAAACGGACCCCCTGTGGGGT